GACAAATTGGCGTCCGAACCGTCATTTAAACGCGAGATTGCATGGGACGTCGCGCTTCTGACGTCTCTCACGATGCACTGAACAGATTTTTGGTGGGACACCGTTCGATGCTGCGGCTTGTCCCTCAAAGTGTTTTGACCCTGTGAAGAGGAATGCTCATCAGTGCAAGAAGGATTTGCGAAAATGCTCGGGTGGCCGTGAACGCGACCGGCCTGCATATGGTCCTGCTGCTGGAGTTCCTGGTAGTCGTGGCGTGGTAGTGAAGGCCCGTGACCCCGGTAACGAACTTCGAGGGGCATCCCGCTCCTGCAGCATGAGAAACCGCAATGTGGGGTGAGTTAAAAGTCAAAGAGATGCAGATGGTGAGCGACTCATTCAAGCAACAAACCGGCCTTTCACAAGGGTGTACTCGAGGGAGGAGGTAGTAGGGCTTTTCGAAGGGAGATATTTTGGCTTCTTCGTCCGGAGACGGGCGGGAGAGGGCCATGGGCGCCGTCGGCGGAGATGGTGGCCTCAGGCGCGTACATCCGGGTAGGTTTGCCGCCGCCCTGCGCGCGATGTTGCCCTCCCCTCGCCGCCCCATTTTTGCTCATGCACCCTCGTGGATTGTCCGGTTCATAAACGTTAACAGAATTTGTGATGCTTTCCATTGGTGTGAGGAAGGAGAGTCTGCATCGCAAGGACCGTCACCCCGCTCGCGCTGCGACGTTGCATTTCGTGCATGCGAACACGGCCCAGTCATCTCCGACTCCCACTCATGCCATTTAATTTTTTTGATCGGAGGGAGCTGATACATATGCTGACATACTTAGTTAATAGTCAATAAAAAGAAGCCGGCAGGGCCAGCGGCAAAGCCACGCAACAAGAAAAATGTCTCAAGGTCAACCATATAAGCTCGAATGTATGACTTGCCAAAAGCATGAACAGCGACGCATGTTGATTTATACAATACCAAATACGATAAAATTTACGTTTTTTCTCCTTGCCCGCGCAGTTCCAAGGCAATACTCTTCCCTCGACGACAACTCAATCTAAAATCACCGCTGCTGAGCACTTTGGAATCCACTGAAATTACCTCCTCGTCTTCGATCACCGGATGTACGGATGCCCTCAGCGTACACTCATATTCACCTTGCTGCACAGGAATAAATCGGATGGGAAGCTGTACATAGGCCCGTGGCCTGAGTTTGATGACGCGGTGGGTCAAAACAAAGGGGAGGGAGGCACGTTCCAAGACAACAAGTTGTGGCACAGTAGATGGATTACACAAGCGGACTCTTTCGACCGAGACGCTGCCGACTGGATGATTCCCAAAGGACAATAGTCCCTGTGCGAAGGCCACGTGTGACTGCAGGAAATGAGGGATAGTTGATGGGGGATGGCTCAAGGACATGCAGGGGTCCGATTCGTCCCTCGCACCTATTTTACCGCCTCCCACGGATGACGGAGGCTTCATCCCTCCCCCTCTGCCTTTTTCTCTTTCGCTTTCAGCCAAGAAGTTCTTAACATCATGACTTTTTCTGCCAATCCCACTAAGTTTTTCCAGGCCCTCAGGCTGCTCTCTGTTGTGTCCCGTATAAGCTCTCGAAGCCTCTCCCCCTACTCTCGCGTAGGCGGTCCGCCCATTAAGCCCCTCCGGGACTATCGCAAGTCCCACCAGCTCTACGTCATGCACAGCATCCTTGTGCCCCCCTCGGTGGGGTCTGCTCACACGGACGTGCAACGTTGCCCTGTGCAAGCCGGGTCTTCGAGGGCGAAACGTGACCAGCAAGCGCAACACACCATCAGAGCCAACCACCTCTTCGTCCTCCTCCCTCTCTTTATTGCTGCTGCTCACTTGGTAGCACCCGCCCTCGCCTTCGTGATGCGTGAACGCGATGTGCACAATGCAAGGCCCAGGGCGACTGTTTCGCAAGTAAAGGTCCCGCGGCGCGGCACACCCCACCGGGAGCCCTCGCCAAGCGATACAAACAGGATCCGAGTCCTCGACTGGAGGCGCCGTGGCGGTGGTACTGTCGCGCGCGTTGGAATCGCTTGTCGGGATCCCGGTGCGGGCATCGGCCTGCTCCATCTGGCGAAGTGACAAAGTCGAGCCAGAGCGAGGTGCCAGAGCACACGTG